CAAATAAGCCAATCAGAATAGTCAAAGAACAACCCCCCTTGCTTCTGTGGCCCCTTTAAAAGTAGACTGTACCCGCTATTCGAGGTCCCTCGGCTTCCCGAATGCTGGGGGACCCTGTCATGACAGAATTAATAAAATCCTCATGCTTTTGCATCGGCTGTAATGTATGAGATGGTCTCTGGGGGCGACTCCTCCTCGGTGTTTGGACGCTAGAGTCCAACATTAGGACCTCAAGAAACAAGTACAGCTGAAGAAAGGGACCGGTACACAAAGAACATCCAAAGGCCTAGCGACAGGCTGCCAGCTGTGAGCTTCACTAGGGAGTCTCCTCACTGTGTGAACTCCCTAGATTATGCCCTCTACCAGCCCAGGGCCTGGATGGAGCAGTCTGCCACCCTCCCAGGCCCTTCCCACAGTCCATTTTCCTAGGCCACAACTCTTCATGGCTTAGTGGCATTTGGTAATGTGGTACACAGCAGTGTGTTGGGGGACTATTAAGCTGTGTGACTTTTGTTTATGTTGCATTTGTTTAACTCTGCGAAGCTGTGATTCTTTGCCTGTCTAGAACACCTGATGGTCCTAATAAAGAGCTAAAGGGCCAACAGTCAGTGAGGGAGGAGCAAGGATAGGTTGGCAGGCAGAGAGGATAAACAGAAGGAGAAATAAGGAAGAAGGAGCAAAGAGAGAACAAGGAGAGGAGAATTTCAGGGGCCAGGCACCCAGCCAGCCACAGAGAAAGAAGGAAAGTAAGAAATACAGAAGTAAGAAAAAGAAAAGCCCAGAGGGAAAAGGTAGACGGGATAGTTTACTGGGTTTTGATCCTACTTCATGTTCTGGCTTTGTGGGAGCCTAGCCAGTTTGGATGTCCACCTTCCTAGACCAAGATGGAGCGGGGGGGACTTTGGACTTTCCACAGTGCAGGGAACCCTGACTGCTCTTCGGACTGGAGAGGGAAATGGGAGGCGGGGAGGAGGCGGAAATCTTTTTTTTTTTCAATAAAAAAATTATATTTAAAAAAAAAAAAGAAAAGCTGGCTAGAAACAAGGCAAGCTCAGGCCAGGCATTCCTAAGTAATAGTAAGCCTTCATGTGTGTGATTTCTTTGGGAGCTGGGTGGCAGGCCCCCCCAAGGAGTAAAAAGAGCAAAAACATCACACAGCAATAGTGAGTGTCTATACATCTGCACATAGCAGGGACCGGGGAAAGTCCTAGGCAATAGGGGGTTCTCAGATTTGTTGCTATCTTGCAGAACTGCTGCCAGACGTGTGAGCTGATGTTTGCTGGAATGCATAGGTGCAAGATCAGTTTTCCCTCCACCTGAGCCCGATCAGCTGAGAGGACAGGTTGTAGTCATAGGATACGAATCTTTGGAGGACTTTTGTGGACCTTCAGAAACAGGAATTGGCACCCTTGACTAATTTGAACAAAAAAAATGCAGACCCTATGAAAGCATGGTGTCCAGTTACACTGTGGGCTTCACATAGCCAGGAGGGCATTTTTCTTTTCTTCAAGCAGAACTGAAAAGAAAGGAGAATGTCTGAAGGTCACAGCCCGTCCAGAGATGGAGGGCAGATCCTCTCTGTACTCCCCATCCCCTCACCCACCTCCCCGATTGTGCTTCAGGGCTGTACAAACCGCATCTTTTGGATGCTATACTTTCTGTTTTCTGAGCTGAGGGGAACAAAGGGAACAATGGCCGTCCACAACCCTTCATCACCAAGCCTCTGAAAAAGGACGGCCCTGTGTAAACATTCGGCGCATTTCCAGTAGCTGTAGCTGTGAATTCTTACTAGTGAACTAACAGCTCCGAGTGTTCAAGACGAACCCCTCCTTCAGATGCTACCACCAGCCAAGCTCTGGTACTTTCCAGCCTAAGGCAGTAGTGGTTTTAGTTCTGAGACTTTTTTTTTTTTTGAATTGTTAAGAAAGTCCCCTTCCCCGCCCCGCACCCCACACAGGGCTGTGGGCTGGCTCCTGGAAGCGCGGCTGGGACAGCTGCACTGTGAGGCACCCTTGACACCACACTTTCCTTCTGGTCTCTATTTATCCCCAAACAGCACAGTGGTGGTTTATCCAGTGACAATCAAATTGCAGTTTCTAAACATCCTGACTCCAGGGAGAGAGAGTGAAAGACTTTGAGACACCTTAGCACTACTGCACCCCACATCCTGGGAACCAGGCCTCTAGCATTAGGAGGCACCTTAGCACTACTGCACCCCCCTTCCTGGGAACCAGGTCCCTAGTAACCAGCCACGCGTGCACGGGAGCTTTGAGTACTTTCCATCCCCATTGTAGTCTTTCTCCAATAGACCCGGACCCTGGAACTGGGGTGAGACGACCTGCAGGTGTTCCTCCTTGTAACCGCCATAACATTGATCAAGTAGAGTTAGCTGACCATTGTATGAACTAGTCAAAACAGTTGACAAATGATTTTTGGACTTTCCCTTTGATTCTGTACTACCCCCTCCCTGAATTTGTGGTTTTTTCCTTTAAAAGAGCTTGTAATAGACAAAGCAGGGTCCTTCTCCTCTCGAGGCTGAGGGACCTCTGCCGTGGCAGAATAAAAATTCCTCTTGCTATTGCATCAACCGTGCTGTGAGTGTCTCTTGGGGCGACCTCCTCCTTGGTGGGGCTTTAGGGCCCAACATTTGGTGCGTTGGCCGGGAAGTGCTGGTCGCCCTCAGACCCATTCCTGACCCGGTTGGAGGTAAGAGCGCGCTTGTCTGAATGTTTTATGTTCGTCTATTTCTGTTATTGTGCCTTATGTTTATGATCATCAGGGATTTGGAGGAACATTGTACCTGCGCAGGGCTAGTATTTGAAAGGGACCAGGCAGTGGGACAGACGTGTCCGGGAACACTCCCTGGCCCAGCCGTGGAGGACGCTTCACAGGCAATTTGTGAAACTAGGAGCGACCAGGTCATCTTAGTTTCTAGAGAGTGTGGTTCTTATCGCCCACTCCCTTCCAGGTTTGTAATATCAGTTTTACATCAGTCTGTTGCCGCGCGGCTCTCGGTCTTGAGTCTGTGTCTGTCATTTTGTATTGTTGTTTTTGTCTTTGTGTTTGTTTTTGAGTTGGAATCTAGTACAATGGGACAACAAATAACCACCCCCTTAACTTTGACTTTAGACCACTGGAAAGAGGTTGAGGACAGAGCTCACAACCAGTCTATGGTAATCCGAAAGAAACGCTGGCAAGCGTTCTGTTCCGTGGAATGGCCCACTTTCGGAGTGGGCTGGCCACAGGACGGAACATTTAATCTGAATATTATTTTGCAGGTTAAGACAAGAGTCTTTCAGCCTGGCCAGCAGGGCCATCCTGATCAAGTTCCTTACATCGTAACTTGGGAGAGCTTGTCCAGAGACCCTCCGCCCTGGGTCAAACCATTTGTCCTGCCTGCGGGAGCCGGAAACCCAGTACCAGCTCCCTGGCCCTCCACCACCCCTTTGACTCCGAGGGCGGCAGCAACCCCAACTGCCCCTCCCCTGGACCCGTTGTCCTCTCTCTTCCCCATGCAGGAGCGACCGAAACAGAAGTCCCAGACCCAGACACCACCAATCCTCTCTGACAATCAGTCAGACCTCCTGCTTTTTGACCCTCCTCCTCCTTATCCCCGGCCTCTTCTGCCCCAGGCCGAGGCAGCCCCCCTCGCGCCTGTTCCTGGGGAACCTGCTGAACCTGATATAGACCCTGACAGGCCCCCTAGCCCTGACACGACTGATACTGCTGAGGGGGGGCCTAACTCGCAGCCAGCAGGCCGGCTGCGGCTCCGCAGAGGGACATCTGCAAGGGAAAGGTGGACTTCCCAGGCACTACCCCTCCGCTCAATGGCTGACCAATTTCAATACTGGCCTTTTTCAGCCTCTGATCTTTATAACTGGAAACTTCATAACCCCTCCTTTTCCCAGGACCCCCAGGCCCTTACTGCCCTTATAGAATCTGTTCTGATTACTCACCAGCCCACTTGGGATGATTGCCAACAGCTTTTGCAGATACTTCTCACTACAGAGGAGAAACAGCGTGTTTTCCTTGAAGCTCGGAAGAATGTCCTGGGAGCTGACGGAAGGCCAACCCAGTTGCCAAATGAGATAGAGGATGCCTTCCCTTTGACCCGACCCAATTGGGACTTCAATACTCCAGCTGGTAGGGAGCGACTTCGTCTCTACCGTCAGATTCTGTTAGCGGGTCTCCAAGGGGCTGGCAGACGGCCCACTAATTTGGCTAAGGTAAGAGCAATAATACAGGGGCCTGAGGAAACACCTGCAGGATTTCTAGAAAGGCTATTGGAGGGGTACAGAATGTACACCCCTTTTGATCCCATGGCAGCGGATCGCCAGGCTGATATAATAATGTCTTTTATAAGCCAGTCAGCACCTGATATTCGTAGCAAGCTGCAGAGGATGGAGGGACTGCAGGGTTACTCCCTCCAAGATTTAGTAAAGGAGGCAGAGAGAATTTTTAACAAAAGAGAGACACCAGAGGAAAAGGAAGAAAGAAGGCGCAAGGAACAGGAAGAGAGAGAGGACAAACGAGATAAAAAGCGTAGTCGTGAGTTAAGTAAGATCTTGGCCACAACAGTACGCAGTATAGAGCAACCTAAGAAGCGCCAGGACAAGGATAGGGGAGACAAAAGGCGGCCACGAGTGGACCGAGATCAATGTGCCTATTGCAAAGAAAGAGGACATTGGATCAAGGACTGCCCAAAACGTCCAGCTGAACCCAAGAAAAAGCCAGTTCCTGTCCTAGCCCTGGAAGACAGTGATTAGGACAGTCAGGGCTCAGAGCCCCCCCCTGAGCCCCGGGTAACCCTTCTAGTGGGGGGGCACCCTACCACATTTTTGGTAGATACTGGAGCCCAGCATTCGGTCCTCACACAAGCAAATGGACCTTTGAGTTCAAAAACCTCTTGGGTTCAGGGGGCCACCGGGGGAAAAATATACCGATGGACCACAGAAAGAAAAGTTAATTTAAACACTGGTCAAGTGACTCATTCCTTCCTCATGGTGCCAGAATGCCCCTACCCATTGCTGGGCAGAGACCTCCTGTCCAAAGTTGGGGCACAAATTCACTTCTCAGAAAATGGGGCCTCAGTTACTGACAATACTGGCCAGGCTCTTCAAATTCTAACTTTAAGATTGGAGGACGAACACAGACTGTTTGAACTGCCTCCTCCCCCGGAGCTGCCCATCGATAACAAATGGCTCCGTGATTTCCCCCAGGCCTGGGCGGAAACCGCAGGTATGGGGCTGGCAAGCAATCAACCTCCTTTGATAATAGAGTTAAAACCATCAGCCACTCCAGTTTCCATAAGACAATACCCCATGAGCCGCGAGGCCCGAGAAGGAATCAGGCCCCACATTCAGAGACTTTTAACATTGGGCATCTTAAAGGCCTGCCATTCCCCCTGGAACACACCTCTTCTCCCAGTAAAGAAGCCAGGCACAGGGGACTACAGACCAGTCCAAGACTTAAGGGAAGTTAATCGCCGCACTCTAGACATTCATCCTACGGTGCCCAATCCTTATAATCTCTTAAGTACCCTGCCTCCGACCCATGTATGGTACTCAGTACTTGATTTAAAAGATGCTTTTTTCTGTCTGAGACTTAGCCCTCAGAGCCAGCCATTGTTTGCCTTTGAATGGAAAGATCCTGATTCAGGAGTTTCTGGGCAGCTCACCTGGACGAGACTACCCCAGGGATTCAAGAATTCTCCAACTCTATTTGATGAGGCCCTACACCAGGATCTGGCCAGTTTTCGCACCGCCAATCCAGAGGTAATCTTACTCCAATATGTAGATGACCTCCTGCTGGCCGCAGAGACTGAGCAAAAATGCCTCAGAGGGACTCGAGCCCTACTCACCAGATTAGGTGAACTGGGCTACAGGGCATCTGCTAAAAAGGCACAGATCTGCAAGAAGCAAGTAGCCTACCTGGGGTACCTCTTGGAGGGTGGACAGAGATGGTTAACAGACAGTCGGAAGCAGGCCGTGGCACAAATTCCCCCTCCCAAAGGGGCGCGAGAGGTCCGAGAGTTTCTGGGAACTGCCGGTTTCTGTAGGTTATGGATACCGGGTTTCGCTGAAATGGCCGCCCCACTGTATCCGCTTACCAAAGCCAACGTCCCTTTCTTCTGGGGAGAGGACCAACAACGGGCTTTTGATAAAATAAAAAGGGCCCTCCTTTCGGCCCCTGCTTTGAGTCTCCCTGATGTCACCAAACCATTCACCTTATACGTAGATGAGAACAAGGGAGTAGCAAAAGGGGTGCTGACTCAGAAACTGGGACCCTGGAAAAAACCAGTGGCTTACATCTCCAAAAAGATGGACAATGTGGTGACAGGATGGCCCCCTTGCCTCCGTATGGTAGCAGCTGTAGCTACCCTGGTCAAAGATGCAGACAAATTGACTCTGGGCCAACCGCTGACTATAATAGCACCTCATGCTTTAGAGACTATAATTCGTCAACCCCCTGATAGATGGCTCTCGAATGCCCGTATAACCCACTACCAGTCGTTATTGCTCAACCCTGAACGTATCACATTTGGAAATGCGACGTTACTGAACCCCGCTACCTTGCTCCCCAATTCGGAACCCACTGTTTGGGTACCTCATGACTGTCATCAGATATTGGCAGAATACCACGGGACCAGGGAGGATTTGACTGATTGCCGGCTCCCTGATGCAGATTATACCTGGTTCACAGACGGCAGCAGCTTCTTTAAAGAAGGTGAGCGAAAGGCGGGGGCGGCGGTGGTGGATGGACAAAATACCATATGGGCACAGGCATTGCCCCCAGGAACCTCTGCCCAGAAGGCAGAATTAATAGCCCTGACTAAGGCTTTAGAACTAGCAAAGGGACAAAAAGTAAACATATATACAGACAGCCGTTATGCATTTGCAACGGCCCATGTCCATGGGGAAATTTATAAAAGAAGAGGACTGCTAACTTCTGCTGGAAAAGAAATTAAAAATAAGACTGAAATCCTGGGACTATTAAAGGCCCTCTTCTTACCCAAGAAGGTGAGCATTATTCATTGCCCAGGACATCAGAAGGGCAATGATCCTATTGCCAAAGGAAATCAGATGGCAGATGAGATGGCTAAAAAGGCTGCGCTTAACTCAGAAATATTATCCTTGGCAGAGGCACCACCCTCCACAGAAGATCATTTCCAATATTCAACCCAGGATCTAGAGACTATTCAGAAACTTAATGCAGACTTTGATGAACAACAAAAAGCTTGGAAATATCAGGGCAAAACCATGTTGCCCAAGAAAGATGCTTTTGAACTGGTCACTCAAATGCATCGATGGACTCATTTAGGACATAAAAAGATTAAATCTCTTATAAAAAAGACAGATTTTTATATTCCAGGTCTTAACTCACTCATACAGCAAGTGACATCAACTTGTGTCCCCTGTGCCAAGGTAAACGCAAAACGGCAAAGTGCCCCAGAGGGCATAAGAATAAGGGGAGACCGACCTGGTACTCATTGGGAAGTGGATTTTACTGAAATAAGGCCAGGAAAATATGGTAATAAATATCTCCTAGTTTTTATAGACACCTTCTCCGGTTGGACTGAAGCTTTCCCCACCAAACGAGAAACGGCTCAAATGGTGGTGAAGAAGATACTAGAAGATATTTTTCCTCGGTTTGGCCTGCCTAAGGTAATCGGGTCTGACAACGGCCCAGCCTTTGTCTCCCAGGTAAGTCAGGGTATGGCCAAGACACTGGGGATTAATTGGAAATTACATTGTGCATACAGACCCCAGAGTTCAGGACAGGTAGAAAGGATGAATAGAACCATAAAGGAGACTTTATCCAAATTAGCTTTGGAATCTGGCGTTAGAGACTGGGTACAGCTCCTTCCCCTAGCCCTGTTCCGGGTGCGGAACACCCCTTCTCGGCTTGGACTTACTCCCTATGAGATCCTATATGGGGGGCCTCCCCCATTGGCCTCCTTTAGGGCCCCTCCTGACCCCGCTACTCACAAACCTGATTTGCAGGCGCGGCTAAAAGCACTTCAGATCGTCCAGGCCCAAGTGTGGAGACCCCTAGCTGCTGCCTACCAGCCTGGGCATCCGGAGATCTCGCACCCGTTCCAGGTTGGCGATTCTGTGTACGTGCGGAGACATCGGTCCCAGAACCTTGAACCTCGCTGGAAGGGACCCTACACCGTGCTTCTTACGACACCTACTGCCCTCAAAGTGGACGGTATTGCAGCCTGGATCCACGCGTCTCACGTCAAGCCGGCACCTCCACAGGACGACCCAGAACTTTCCAAATGGAAGCTTCAGCGTACCCAAAATCCTCTAAAACTGAGACTAGTCAAGGAAGCCTGATCCTGTCAAGCTTGCTGTTCTTTGCCCTGGTGTTTCCCTCCACATATAGTGCTAAGAACCCCCATACACCTCAGAACTTAACTTGGACTCTGACTAACTTTGAGACTGGGCAAGTCTTGAGGCTAGCCACTGGAGTTCATCCCCTAGGTACCTGGTTCCCCCAGCTAAAGTTTGACCTATGTGCCCTAGCAAAAGACTCTTGGGGAGATACTGAACGAACTCCCGAGAACTCTTATCCTACATGCAGATATTCTGAATGGTATATTTGTCCTGGGGGAAGACGAACTTGGCAATGTGGGGGGGCTGAAGTATTTTATTGTGCTGCCTGGGGATGTGAAACCAGTGTCAGTACCTCCTGGTTGGGGGCTAGCAAAGAAGACTTAGTCACTTTCACTCGTACCACATCAGGGGAATCTGAAATCACAATCACCTTCACGGAGAAGGGAAAAAAGGTTAGTTGGTTAACAGGCAATATATGGGGTTTACGGTTGTATAATCCAGGAGGGGAAGACATAGGAATTCTGTTCACCCTAAGAATTGTTATAACACCTCCCATGACCATGGCACTAGGGCCCAACCCGGTATTGCCTGACCAGGGACAGCTAGCCCTGGCTGAGGTCCCCCCCCCTTGCCAGGGCCTTGGGTCCCCCTTCAAGTCCTAAAAATCTTCCTGCTACCCCTGCTTCACCGCTGGCACTCTCTAATACAGGCCAGCGATTGTTTAATCTAATAGTGGGAGCTTTTTCTTTGCTGAATAGTACTGACCCCAATATGACAGAATCTTGCTGGCTATGCCTATCAGCAGGACCCCCATACTATGAAGGGATTGCAATATCTGGGGGTTTCAATAACACAACTAGCCAGGAGGGCTGCGCTTGGGGAGTTAGTCATAGACTAACTCTTACAGAGGTTACTGGTGCAGGGACATGCTTGGGAAATCCACCGGCTGCTTACAAACATTTATGTAATGAGACCCTTAAGAGCCCTAAAACTGCTAAAACTGGATACCTGATCCCCGATTCAGATAAATGGTGGGCTTGTAGTACAGGCCTGACGCCTTGCGTGGCAACATCAGTTTTTGATGGTACCAAAGATTACTGTGTGCTTGTTCGACTAGTTCCAAGGGTCATTTATTATCCTGCTAACACATTTGAGGATGAATTTGACAGGCACTCGAGCCGTTATCGGCGAGAGCCCATCTCTATGACTCTAGCAGTGATCTTGGGCCTTGGGGTGGCAGCTGGTGTTGGCACCGGTACTACTGCTCTAGTGCAGAGTTCCAAAATTCCCCAACATTTTGAGGAATTAAGAGCAGCTATTGACCAGGACTTAAGGGCCCTAGAACAATCTATCACCAAGCTTGCAGATTCAATAATCTCTCTTTCCGAGGTAGTGTTACAAAATAGGCGCGGGTTAGACTTGCTATTTCTTCAAGAAGGAGGACTCTGTGCTGCCCTAAAGGAACAATGTTGTTTCTACGTAGACCACTCTGGGGTAATTAAAGATTCGATGGCTAAGCTCAGAGAGAGGTTAGACAAGAGACAGAGAGAGAGAGAGGCACATCAAAATTGGTTTGAAGGCTGGTTTAACCGCTCCCCCTGGTTCACGACACTCATTTCCACCATCACTGGTCCCTTGATCATTCTATTACTCATCCTAACCTTTGGGCCCTGCATCCTCAATCGACTCCTGATGTTCATTCGTGAGCGACTTAGCATTACTCAAGCTTTGGTGTTGACCCAGCAATATCATGCCCTTAGGGATAATCCCTGAGAATCTCAAGATTGAGATTCGACCAAATCAAAGGGGGGAAATGAAAGACTTTGAGACACCTTAGCACTACTGCACCCCCCATCCTGGGAACCAGGCCTCTAGCATTAGGAGGCACCTTAGCACTACTGCACCCCCCTTCCTGGGAACCAGGTCCCTAGTAACCAGCCACGCGTGCACGGGAGCTTTGAGTACTTTCCATCCCCATTGTAGTCTTTCTCCAATAGACCCGGACCCTGGAACTGGGGTGAGACGACCTGCAGGTGTTCCTCCTTGTAACCGCCATAACATTGATCAAGTAGAGTTAGCTGACCATTGTATGAACTAGTCAAAACAGTTGACAAATGATTTTTGGACTTTCCCTTTGATTCTGTACTACCCCCTCCCTGAATTTGTGGTTTTTTCCTTTAAAAGAGCTTGTAATAGACAAAGCAGGGTCCTTCTCCTCTCGAGGCTGAGGGACCTCTGCCGTGGCAGAATAAAAATTCCTCTTGCTATTGCATCAACCGTGCTGTGAGTGTCTCTTGGGGCGACCTCCTCCTTGGTGGGGCTTTAGGGCCCAACATGAGCTCCATTGTAGTCCCGGTCCACAGGCCTGCTGCTCACATAGGGAAATTAATGACTTTGGAGACTGACATTTCTGTGACCCTGGAGAGCAGAGGCCGCTTCCTGGTTTTCTGCTGGTCTGAAAACTCTGCTGGGAGATTTCTGCGTTGCAAACGAAGCTGCTCTTGCCTCTGCATGCTCTTTTACCTCTTAGATGTGACGAGAAGCAGAAGATTGAAACTTCCGCTGTCCAATTATTTGCTGGGTGGCACTTTCACCTAAGGCAAGGGGCCAGCCACCCCCAGTTGTGGTTCCTCAGGGTCCAAAAGACGTGTGCCACCTGCTCATACTTAAGGACCTGGAGTAAACTTTACATTGCCCTGTACTTCCCAGACCGAATTAAGGTAAGAGACAAAGGAGGGCATAGGGGCCAGACAAGCGCTTAAGACAGCTGTGCCCAGATGCAAAAGATTTCGTGTGAGAAAACCCTAGTGGGAAAGAAGGACTAGCGCGTGACAGACGTTCAATTCCAACAAAATAATGTCAACAAGGCATAAAACAACACATTCTTAGAGAAAAACAAATAGAACACCAAACAGCTTTGACTCAGCTTCCTTCTGATTCAGGGCTTCCCATTTTGAAGAGCGGCCCTGATCCTCTAGCCCACCCCTTCTCCTTTCTGGCTTGTGAGTGGGGGCTTCCAAAGTAACCGCTTGGTGTTTCAGTTTGGTTTCACTAGGGATCACCTGCCTTCCAACTGGGTCTCTGCCCAGCAGTGACCAAGGAATGCTCACTTCTCATTGCTAAATGGAAGAAACTCCTCAAACCACTGGGCAGAAAAGAGAATGAACTTCTTACTCATGCCTGGAGCTAGAGGATCAACCCCTGCCCTTGCCCTGCCCTGCCCCACCTTGCCCTGCCCTGCCCCACCTTACCCTGCCCTGCCTGTGCCTTTATTCTGACAGCATTCTTTTGTGAGGGCTCATCACTCAGCCCCCAAGGCTTGTAAAGGTAGGCTTTATTACCCATGAGACCATGGCAGAAAGACCCCACTGTGGTGCTTTCAAGGAATCCCATCCCACACATCCTGATACTCCCAGAGAATCTGAGCAAAGGACCCTGGACTTTCTTTCCTCTTATCCCAACCCACTCTGCCTCTTCCATCTTTGTTTTCCTCTACCCCATTATCACCACGAAGTCCCGATAAGTCTGATTTGAAAGCCACAAGCCTACTAGGCTTTTAGTATGCTGAGCTGCCCACATCAGCAAACATAGTTGACATCACTCGGCATCACTGTGGACCTGTTTCTTAGCAGGTTGTCGATGGGGCAGGGAGAGAACCCGTTCAGAGAGCAAAATTCTAAGGTTTCTTTTTCGTTGAGAGCTTTCTGTTTCTCTTCTTCCAGATCCACATCAAAGTCTTGACTTCCTCATTCACAAGATGTCATGGGTATTAAGTGAGAGGCATGGGTGTGCCTGGAGACTGCAAGGCGCTGAGTGGATGACCCCATTATTCTCCTTGACAGATGCCAGGCTTCCCGGCTGGTCTCCCGCTGTAGATGATCAGTTCCTGGAAGACAAAGCGGGGGGTTGGGAGATGCTTCTGCGTCCTTTGGTTTCCATTTTCTAGCATTTGCCAATTTCCAAAAGATAAAAGAAGGAAGGAAAGAAGAAGGGAGGGAGGAAAGGAGGGAGGGAGGAGCAAGGTATATATGAGTGATAGTGATTGTTGTTAGAGAACCCATACAGTCAGCAAGCTGAACTCCTTACTAATAAAAAAATAATGACAGTGTCTGGGGATTTGGAATTATTAAACAAGAAGGACAAAGTATGCTGTGGATCACACAGATTTGTTCAACCAATAGAGCAGTGGTCCCGGTGACAGCAAGGATCCCACATCCCAAAATGTACACCATGGAGAGGGACATGCAGAAAGGAAAGCACCTTGTCCTACTCCTTGAGTTTCTGATTTAGTAGGTCTTCAGCGGGGCTAACAATCTAGCAAGTTCCATAGGTGAAGCTGTTGACCTGGGACAACGCTTTAGATACCTCAAGTGTAAGGTTGTGAGGTGAGTGCTCACCCAGGAAAAGTAAGCTCTGGGTTTGGTCCCCAGCACTAACAAAACAGCAGTAGTCACAGAATGCCTGGTGCACTGGGTAGTGCTGGATCCACTCACTGCTGCTGAACGTCCCAGCTCTTCTTCTGGGGGAGGAGATGTTGGCCAGCTCCCTTATCCTCCTCAAGACTCAGCTTCATCAACTATAAGTTTTCCATATGCCACCCAGAGTGATTACGAAACTTTGGTGAGAAATTAGGAATAAATCACAGCATTCAGGACATATTCAGAGTGAAAGACTGCTTTTCAGTGTCTGTGTATCATTCCAATGAAAGTTAGAAGATCAAAGACTTTACATCTATGGTCCCAGTGAAGTTCAAGCGTGACTCCAGACTATTGTGAATGCGGAGTAAGGAGGAACCAAAGTCAAGCTGCCCGTGTCTGGCATGGTTTATGGTAACAGGAGAACAGATGCGGGGTGGGGCAACACACACACACACACACACACACAAAAAAAAAATGGAATTCTGTAAGATTCTTGGGATGAACCACAAATTAGCAAAAGACCATTGTGCCAAAGTTTGGAGACTGGGCTCTGGTCCCAGATTTGCTCCTGACCGGTGTTGTGACCTCAGTTTTCCTTAATGTCTGCAGGACTTAATTTCCTCATGTGCTAACCACATAGGGATGAGCTCTGAGCCTATGGAGTCCAAAGAAGCAAGTGGAGAAGGTCTCAGGCTAGGGTGCCAAGAGCAAGGCAGGAGGTGACCAATTCCTGAGAGGTGGAAGGAGATGCCAAGTCACTGGGGAGGAAAGAGGATGTTCTGAGGATGGGGGTGGGGGTGGGGACTGAAAGGAACTCAGGGAGGGAGACGTCCGTCCTTGACATTTTGCCCAATCTCCCTCCAGGGCAAATTCCAGGGAGGAATAGCGAGCTCTTTTGTCTTAAATCTAAATTGGACTGAATTCACAAATAGCTCCCAAGTTTAGTGGGTAGGTGGTCAGGCCTATTGTGGTTAACCAAGGAAAAGCTGAAGGTTCCAGGTTATTGGACAATGAGAGGGGTCACCAGGACCACACATCAAGGCCAGTTTCACAGAGAGACCAATTTTTATGCCAAAACAATTGAAGGAAAGAATCAAGGCCCTGATAGACAGTCAGCAGAGACTGGCCTGATTCCTGGAGAGCCTGCTCCAGCTCAACAGGTCCTGAGAACTCAGTTAACTGCATCTTCAGAGATAACTAACAGTTCAGATATACAGCCTTGAGAGAAACATTGGGGTTTAGTTGAAAAATATGTTGGATATGGATTCATGTTGGGCCTTTCAGTCATGTGTCAAGGAACACAGAGGATTAAGTACTAATGTCCTCAGCTCCAGTTTCCAGTGTACTGATTGCTTGTAACTTTACTATCATCGACTCTTTACTCTCCAACGCTATGGGTAGATAATAATAAAGGGCCGGGCGATGGTGGCGCACGCCTTTAATCCCAGCACTCAGGAGGCAGAGGCAGGCGGATCTCAGTGAGTTTGAGACCAGCCTGGTCTACAGAGCTAGTTCCAGGACAGGCTCCAAAGCCACAGAGAAACCCTGTCTCGAAAAACCAAATAAAATAAAATAATAATAAAGGATCTTTGCAATGGGAAGCAGTCTTAGGCCAGGACAAGTGTGAAGGGCTCCCCAAGGCACATCTCTACCCAGAGGAGTGACGGAATATTTTTAGTGTTGCTGTGATAAAACCAAACGCAGGGAAGAAGAGCGTATGTTGGCTCGCAGTTCTGGAGGGACAGAGGAGTCCCTCTGGAGAGGAAGGCAAGGGAGCAGGGTTGTATTATGAGGCCAGTCTCGCAGTCAGGAGGCAGAGAGGTCACAGTTCATCCACACACAGGAAGCAGAGAAAGGGAACAGGAAGTGAGGTCAGACTATAAACCCTCAAGGCCTGGCCCCAATAGACTGAAACTCCTAAGTGTCCCATAACCTTCCCAAACAGCACCACACACAGGGGACCGAGTGTTCAAATGCACCGATCTATGGGGGACATTTCAAACAACCACTAGGAGGGAAGGCAATGGCACAGAGGAAGACTGCTGGGGTTGCTGCCAATGAGCAACTGACAGGACATCACCAGGAGGAGAAGAAGCCAGAGCTTTAGCTAGATTTCCTTTTACCTAACACCGGGGTGAGCAGGAGAAAGGTTGGTTGTCCTAAACCTATAATAGGAGCAGTCCCTATACTAGTGATTCTTAACTTTGCTAATGCTGCGATCCTTTAATATAGTTCCTTATGTTGTGGTGACCTCCAGTTATAAAATTATCTTTGTTGCTACTTCATAACTAATTTTCCACTATTATGAATCATAATGTATTTTCCAATTGTCTTAGGCAACCCATGTAAAAGGGCTCTTTGAGCCCCACAAAGGGTCATGACCCACAGGTTGAGAACCATTGCCCTAGACTGACCCTACTTTGAGAGCAAAGCTGGTCTTTTATATGATATTGCACATCTATTTTTTAGTTTGTTAGATCCTTAGTATGACTTCATCTCTATTATCTCATCTTTCTGGACAAGAAGGAAGGACATAGGGAAACTTGGGCACTTGTCGAATGCCACAGGAACCCTGCGTTAAATCAACAAGCTCAACTAGCATCCCTTGAGGTAGAACAGTGAGATCAGATCATGGCTTGGCAGTTGACAAAGGGAAGAAAGATTCCTCCAGCTACGGACTTGTGTCTACTTCTCTCTACCTTCAAAGGAGTTGAAGCCCCTAAAAGGAGCCTCAGCAATGAATTAAGGTGTATATGTCTGGGATCACCCCAACAGTAGCTTTGACTACGGGTCCATTTCTTTACAAGTTGATGGAGTACACAGAAGAGGGAGTCTGGACAGGAGAGTCCACTAT